CAGGAGAATTGCCTGAACCCAGGAGGCGGAGGTTGCGGTGAGCCGAGATCGTGCCATTGCACTCCAGCCTGGGTAACAAGAGCGAAACTCCATCTCAAAAAAAAAGAATATCTACAATGCAAAATGCTTGTAAAAAGATACATGTTGTGGGCCAGGCACGGTGGCTCACACCTGTAATCCCAGCACTCTGGGAAGCTGAGGTGGGAGGATCGCTTGAGGTCAGGAGTTTGAGATCAGCCTGGCCGAGACCAACCTGGCCAACACCGTGAAACCCCTTCTCCTAAAAATACAAAAAAGTTAGCCGGGTGTGGTGGTGTATGCTTGTAGTCCCCGCTACTCAGGAGGCTGTAGCAGGAGAACTGCTTGAACCCAGGAGGTGGAGGTTGCAGTGAGCCAAGATTGCACCACTGCATTCCAGCCTGGGCGACAGAGTGAGACTCCATCTCAAAAAAAAAAAGATACATGTTGTGGAATGTGATGCACACTCTGACACGCGGCAGCAGAGTGGAACAGTGACATTCTAAAGAGTAACTCCTACACGAGACGCCTAAAAAGAAGTCCCAGGAAGTTAGCAGGGTCCTACAGAACACGGCTCTGGTTTCCTTAGCACTTGAATCCAGCTCTTGGCAGGGCCAATATTGACAGCAGAGTCACCCAACACTTCCTTCAGTTATCGGTCAACAGAGACTTCTTGGCTAAATCAAGAACGCTACTGCTTCCTTTGTGTTTCTTACACATGTCACTTTGGCAGTCACTCTGTTCAACAGACACTATTGCTGCTTCCATCTGTCAATGCAACTTTGGGAAGAGAGGCTGTAACTCAAGGATGAGAACCAGCATACATACATAGATGTACATGCGCATATAAGCATATCCACACAAAAATATACACCCAACCAGGGAAGTAAGAATTAGGTGTCGAGTTTCACATGGATCTTCCGGTAAATCTCACTCTGAGTACTGCTGATTCAGTAAGGACCTGACCATGCTGGGGAGACAAGCCTGGGAGAGCAATGAGGTTTCATGTGCTTTTCCTCTAGTCATCAGGGCCAGAAATTTCTTTCCCCACTCACTTCTCAAAAACAATCACGAGGTCCTGTGAAATCTCTTTCATGTATCTCTCATTCATTCAATGACCGAGTGACAACTTTGTCTTGGGGTTAGGGATACAACAGTAAACAAGACTGATGTGGTTACTGCTCTGCCCTCATGAGGCTTATGGTCTAATGGAAGATGGGCATTAAGTAGAGGGGCAATCTCAACCCACCCAGGTAAACGTGTTGTAGGGACTATGAGCTCAAGGGAAGGAAGGACACTCACTCAGACTTAAGGGGGGTGTCAGGGTTTTCTGAAAGGAAAAGTAGCTAATATTTGAATCTATCTATTATCTTTATTCCATGAACACAGCCTTGGGTTAGGACCTTTTTTCTTGCCTGGACAACTGTCTTACTTTTCTAATTGGTCTTTCTGCCTTTAACCTTACCTTTGCTGGAAACCTTTATTCTCAAGATAGAAAGCAAACTTCACAGACTGGGGCTCTTTGTGGTCTGAACCCACATTTGTCTTTCACCAGACTTCTCCATGCTTTCAAACTATGCAGAAGACATTCAGAACCACTCCCATTTCCTACAATGCGCTATACTCACCTCTATCTGCCTAGGTCACTGCTTCCCTTGTCTTAAGGCCAGCGGAAGTTCACCTTTGCTGGGAAGCCTTTCCTGACCTATCTGGGATAGCCACTTCCTATGATATGTATTTTGAGGTAACTACGGACAACTTAGACAGTGTGAGAGTAAGTATGTGCTACTTAGTTTGGGCTTCAAAATAGGGATAGTCAATGGCCCATATTAAGAATTGATATTCCAGGAGTGGCCAGCTAATATGAACTCCACAAGGCAGCTACTAAGAAAAGCTCCTCGGCTATTCATACATTCACCAACACTACGACTTGGCTCAGTAGCTAAAAAATGGAAATATTTTTATTGGCGAAAGTAATGGCCTGTAAATCACCACAGTGAATATTGGAAATGGACTCTCACTGATAAAGTAAAAGGTATTTGAGATATGTAGATTGAATAAAATCTTTTATTTTATTTTTTATTTTTTTGAGACGGAGTTTCGCTCTTGTTACCCAGGCTGGAGTGCAATGGCACAATCTCGGCTCACCGCAACCTCCGCCTCCTGGGCTCAGGCAATTCTCCTGCCTCAGCCTCCTGAGTAGCTGGGATTACAGGCACGTGCCACCATGCCCAGCTAATTTTTTGTATTTTTAGTAGAGACGGGGTTTCACCATGTTGACCAGGATGGTCTCGATGTCTTGACCTCGTGATCCACCCGCCTTGGCCTCCCAAAGTGCTGGGATTACAGGTGTGAGCCACCGCTCCCGGCCCTGAATAAAATATTTTAGAGATAGTCCCAACTTTTGCATAAAGCGGGAATAAGTCTGCATCTGATCACAAAGGAATGCCGCCCGGCTCACTTGTGTCCGGTCATCGGGCTGGGAAGCTTCTGTTTGCCTGATGCTGATTCTAAGAGGAACAGAATCTGCTTCTGTGATGTTGTCTCATCTCTGACAGAGGTCAGACGCCCAAAATGACAAAGAGCTGGGACATTACTAAGTTTGGAAAACAGGTTGCATGATCCCATTTCTAAATGAGTGTTTATTTAATAAATGCCCATATACATGGCAGAATTTGCTCTCACTCTAATGTGGTAACAATGCTGTGGGGGAGTGGCTCACCATTCCTTAAAGTTCTTCACGGAGCTTTCTGCCATAAAGAATGTTAAGAACTGCACTAAGTGAGCTTAGTCATCTCAAAACAAGGACTTTCCTTGGTGCCTTCACAGAAGAACCCTATGCACCTTCCATGGCATGTGTCAAGGTATATGGTAACTGTCAGATTACCTGTCCACTTTTCTCAATAAATGCTGAGGTCTTTGAGATCAGGATTGTATTTCTCATCTCTAGTTCATTGTTTATGTCAGTAATTGGTGTAAAGAAATACAGCTGGCTGGGCGTAGTGGCTCATGCCTGTAATCCCAGCACCTTGGGAGGCCGAGGTGGGCGGATCACGAGGTTAGGAGACTGAGACCATCCTGGCCAAAACGTGAAACCCCATCTCTACTAAAAATACAAAAAAATTAGCTGGATGTGGTGGCGGATGCCTGTAGTCCCAGCTACTCAGGAGGCTGAGGCAGAAGAATTGCTTGATCCCAGGAGGCAGAGGTTGCAGTGAGCCAAGATGCCACCACTGCACTCCAGCCTGGGTAACAGAGTGAGACTCCACCTCAAAAAAAAAAAAAAAAAAAAAAGAAAGAAAGAAATACAGCCATCCCTAAGTATCTGCGGGGAATTTTACTCCGGGACATCCTATGGATACCAAAATTCATGGCTGCTCACGTCCTTTGAAAATGGCAAGGTATTTGAATTAACCAGTGCACATCCTGTCACATACTTTAAATCATCTTTAGATTACTTATAGTACCTAATACAATGTAAATAGTTTCACTGTTTTTTATTGTTGTGTCATTATTTTTTATCATTATCCCCCATATCTTCAATCTGTGGTTGGTTGAATCCACAGATGCAGAACCCACAAATGTGAGGGGCCAACGACACTGGCCGAATGAACAATGTAATACAAGGAGCACGATGAAGTAAGAGGACATCTGACTAGCAGTTGGGAGACCTGCATTTCATACTAGTGTCGACAGCAGCTTGAGTACTTACTGTACGTCAAACACAGTGTGAGACTCTTAAACAGTACAGCGTTTCACTTAATCTTCAGGACAATTCTGAGAGATAGCATCACCATTTCATGTAAGATGAAAGAGAGGGGCCAGTTTACACAAGGTCATTCAGAGAAATACGTGGAGGAATAAATCTTTGAACCCAAGTCTGGTGGTATCCAAGGCACATCTCTATGTTATAAGTTCGTCCCGTAGCTAACATTGGAGAGCAAAGACAAAAAGACTGGAAACCCTCTGGATTCCCACCTCCTCTTCTGTTTACTGAGTGAGACTAACAGGTCAGGCTCCGCCGGCTCTGCGCACCAGTGTGATGGCTCCTAGTGGCAACAGCCCCGCCTCAGTCCTGCCTGCCCTGCTGCCTTGACAAGAGAGAAGGAGGTTTTCATGTGTAGCACGTTATAGGCCTTTGCAGACCAACATCTTTTATTTTCATTCTCTTCTCTTTTGAAAAAGGCTCAGGGGATTCTGAAGTCCGAGCACAGGGACCCATCTTTGGAACACTGCTTTGAAGCTAAAACCTGCTGTTAGTCAACAGAGCCAGCAAGCGGTTACTTTTGTTCTATAGTCCTTCACTGATACGAATGCTGGCTGAAACTGTAAAAATGGACAAGGAAGAAAAACAATTCAACTACTAGAGAAAGAAAAATAATGAAAGAAACAAGCACAAATGTCCCTTTGTTAACCATGTTTCAACTGCACCTTTGCAGCTGGATAAAGGAAAAGAATTTTAGTGGTTCTCTTGACATCATCTATGCGTTGCTCAGACAGGGTGTAAAACAGTCACACCTTATCTGTGGTCACAGAGCTTACAGTCAGGAACATGAGAGCTCTCTTCTACCACTATTTACTGAAGACCTTCTCAGTGGTGTTAATATCTCAGGCCAACGTTTTTAGGCGTAGCTCTCTAGAAGTAAAGCACATTATTAAGACAAACTATATAGCTCTCCTCTCTGAATATCTTTCACCAGCTACCACTCACTGATACCATGACACCAGGCCTCGTCTAGAAGACGGAAATTCTAGAAACTGACAGCTGCTAGGAGGCTGACACCAAAACCCAACTCAGTTTCTCTGGAAGAGCCAATGAGGCCTGGAGACATGCCATTAAAGCATCTCATCAGAAAGAACCTTCAACAGCATTAAGATAATTAAAAATCATTGCCATGTTGAGAACAGCATTCAACATAGGAGAATAAACACACAGAAGGAGGAACTGTTTTTTTGCTCTGAACTGTTTCAAACAAACTCACCTTTTTACCAGTGAGATCCCCTTTGGACTGATGATATGATGGAGACATTTTTACCTGGGGAAACAAAGGCAAAAATTTTAATACCTTTTCAGTTATAGTCTAGTTTTTTCTGACTCACATTCAAAATAATTCAAGTAGAATTGGTATCACTAAGATAAAACAGACATTTCCAGAGGAACAATGAACAGATTTTGTGTTAAGTCCCCTTGAAATTTTTCTGGAGATCAAAAAATCAGTAGTGAACCAAGGAAAAAAACATGATTTGGGTGAGAAAAGTGGGACAGATGGTCTAGGCTGATTTTAACCAAATGGTGAGGAACTAAATAGATAATGGATCTTTGGTGATGACGTATGCAACTGAATGAAAACGAGCTGCTGTCTGAAAGGGCCTACAACACGCTGCAGCGACCAGGCTTTCTTGCAGACGGCATCTCAAAGTCTCTGCTGTGATGCAATATCCCTCTGAAGCACAGGGTGCACAGAAGACTTAGACCATAGTGAAGGATTTAGAAAAAGTATCGAACTGTAATAAAAGGATGTTTAGTCCAAGAAAAAAAAGACTAATATTATAGAAATAGCTTTAAATATTTGAAGAGTTGAAAAACAGAGATTTTAGGCTGGGCGCGGTGGCTCACGCCTGTAATCCCAGCACTTTGGGAGGCCGAGGCGGGTGGATCACGAGGTCAAGAGATCGAGACCATCCTTGTCAACATGGTGAAACCCCGTCTCTACTAAAAATGCAAAAAATTAGCTGGGCATGGTGGCGCATGCCTGTAATCCCAGCTACTCAGGAGGCTGAGGCAGGAGAATTGCCTGAACCCGGGAGGTGGAGGTTGCGGTGAGCCGAGATCGTGCCATTGCACTCCAGCCTGGGTCACAAGAGCGAAACTCTGTCTCAAAAAAAAAGAAAAGAAAAACAGAGATTTTAGATAAGACAAAAAGACCCAACTACATACTGCCTACAAGAAACACTCCATTTAAATATGAAGGCTCAAAATAGATTAAAAGGATGGGAAAAATATACCATGATAGCACTAGATGACTGATTGACTGACTGATGGATTGACTGAACTGGAGTCTTACTCCTGTTGCCCAGGCTGGAGTGCAATGGTGCAATCTTGGCTCACTGCAGCCACTGCCTCCTGGTTCAAGTGGTTCTCCTGCCTCAGCCTCCCAAGTAGCTGGGATTACAGGCATGTGCCACCACGCCTGGCTAGTTTTTTGTATTTAGTAGAGATAGGGTTTCACCATATTGGCCAGGCCGGTCTCGAACTCCTGACCTCAGTTGATCTGCCTGCCTCAGCCTCTGTGCCCAGAAGGCTGGGATTACAGGCCTGAGCCACTGTGCCCTGCCGATAGCACTAGATTTTAGAGCAAAGACTACTATCAAGTATAAAAAGGGTCATCCCATAATAATATAGGGGTCAATTCCTCAGGAAGACACACAATGCTAAACATCTATGCAGCCAATAGCTTAAAAATGTCTGATGCAATCGTGCAAATAAATATGCTGAGTGAAAGAAGTCAGATAAAAAAAGTATATCAATCTTACAGTTTCATTAATCTAAAACTTTGGAAAATGCAAACTAATTTATTGTTTAATTAGTTTGTAAAACGAATCAGTGGTTGACAGGGAACAGGAGGGAGGGATTAAGTAAATATTTAGTGGTGATGGGTCGGGTCATTATCTTGATTGTGGTGATAGATTCCTGAATGTACACATATGTCAAATTTACATACTTTATACATGTCCAGTTTATGTCAATTATTATACCTCGATAAAGCATTTAAAGAAATACATAGCATACAACAAAAACAGCGGTTAGGAGAATTTATAGCCCATATGTTACACTGGAAAATAAGAAAGGTTTAAAATAAAGGATACAAGTTTCCAATGTAGGGAACTAGAAGGAGATCAAAGTAAAATCAAATGAAGTAGAAAAGCAGCAAAAGTCAGTGAAATCAAAATCAAACAAAACAAAGAGAAATTATCAGTCAAATTGGTTCTTTGAAAAGATAAATAAATTGATCATCTGCTATTGAGATTGATCAAGAAAAGGAGAATATAGATTACCCGTGTCAGCAATGAAAGAGGATATATTATAACGTGCAACATCATTTACAGATATTTAAAAATGATAAAAGCCTATTGTAATAATTTTATGCCAATACACTGGACAAATTAAAAGAACACATTCTTCAAAAACAGAACTTACAAAAATGGACCCAAAACAGAAAATATGAATAGCCTTATATCTATAAGAGAAATTCAATGTTATCAAACATTTTTTCAATGAAAATTTCTGGCCCATAGGGTTTCAGCAGTGAATTGTAGCAAAAATATCAAATATACAGAGACCAGAATATCTGCTTATTAATTTACAGGTGTTAGTCCATTCTCATGCTGCTATGAAGAAATACCTGTGACTGGGTAATTTATAAAGGAAACAGGTTTAACTGACTCACAGTTCCACATGGCTGGGAAGGCCTCAGGAAATTTACAATCATAGTGGAGGGGGAAGCAAACACATTCTTCTTCACAAGGCAGCAGGAGAGAGAAGTGCGGAGCAAAAGGGGAAAAGCCCCTTATCTCGTGAGAACTCACTCACTATCACAAGAACTGCATGAGGGTAATTGCCCCCATGATTCAATCACCTCCCACCGGATCCTTCCCATGACACATGGAGATTATGGGAACTACAATTCAAGATGAGATTTGGGTGAGGACATGGCCAAACCATATCAAGGGCAGAATATAATTATTACTGTAAGTAGTTCAATAGATACTAGATACTGTCTGACTAGAATGAGGTACTGGTAAGCAGTTACAAGATCTCAAGCCTCTTTCAACTCTAATTATAAGAGCCTATAGTGCAGATGATAAAGAGACTTCCTATCATCGTCGCATTGCTATTCAAGTAGGACCACATTGCAGGTTTTGTTTAACCCCTCTGATTTTAAGAATAACTTTAGAAAACATACCTCAGCTCAACAGTCAAAACTGCTAGCTCTCCAGACTGCCCTTTCAGATTTAGCACACCTGCAAAAATTAGACTTGACAGTCTTTGCTATAAACATACCATGACATCAATACTTTGGAATTCACTCCAGATGTATGACGTAGCTGGCTAAAAATGGTCCAGTTTTAACTTCTGGTATGCTCTTTTCCAAAAGGGAGAAAAGAGATTTTCAAAGGAAAGTAGACATTAGCTTTAAAAAATGACCTCATGAAAGAATCTGCAGACTTTTAAAAACAAGCCAAGAACTAGATGAGGTGGTGGATGATTATCCGAGAAGGCTGTTCTCCAGAGATTAAGTCAGAGAATGTTTGAAGTGGCAACAGAAATGGCATCCTCATGAAAGGCCTTATTTTTTCATTTAACAGGATTCCTTCTGGAAATGCCTCAGGCAATGAAGCTTAAAAGAGACACTTTAAATCCAGGTGTGCAGACACTAGATCTGGGGATATGGATGATACACTAAGCTATGGGCTTAATAATGCTGAACTTTTTGTGATCTTTGTTAATAAAATGATTCCTGACTTAACCAAGCAATCTGAGCTGAAGTTTAAAACCAATATGAGTATCTTCTTTATCACCTCGGTTTTTTTTTTTTGAGATGGAGTCTCATTGTTGTTGCCCAGACTGGAGCGCAATGATGCAATCTCAGCTCACTGCAACCTTTACCTCCCAGATTCAGGTGATTCTCCTGCCTCAGCTTCCTGAGTAGCTGGGATTATAGGTGCATGCCATTACCCCCAGCTAATTTCTGGATTTTTAGTAGAGATGGGGTTTCACTATGTTGATCAGGCTGGTCCTGAACTCCTGACCGCAAGTAGTCCACCTGCCTTGGCCTCCCAAAGTGCTGGGATTACAGGTGTGAGCCACCATGCCTGGCCTTTTTTTTTTTTTTTTTTAGTAGAGCCAGGAATGGTAACTTATACTTGTAATCCCAGCAATTTGGGAGGTCAAGGCAGGAGGACAGCTTGAGCCCAGGAATTTAAGACCAGCCTGGGTAACATGTCAAAATTCCATCTTCACAAAAAATTTAAAAATTAGCCTGGCATGGTGGTGTGAACCTGAGGTCTCAATTACTTGGGAGGGTGAGTTGGAAGGACAGCTTGAGCCCGGGAGGTTGAGGATGGAGTGAACTGTGACCTCACCACTGTACTCCAGAGCTTAGGCAACAGAGTGAGACCTTTTTAAATGGAAAAAAAAAAAAAAAAAGACTTAATTCTTCTGATTGTAAAAAAAATACATGTTCAGTGATAGAAATTTAAGGACTATAACAGCTCAAACAAAGCAAATAAAAAGCACAACCCAATCAGCAATAACTGATACTGAAACTTGGAATACCTGCTGTGGTCTTTTCATGTTGCACATTATGAATCTTTACTTCGACATATCAATATTATTCTCCAATACAATTTTTCTTCTTTTTTTTTTGTTTACGATATGATTCTTCACAGCTACAAAGCAGTTCATTCACTGCCTAGACATACCATGACTCATTTAATCAACTGTGGGCTGTTGGGACATTCAGGTTGTTTTCAATTTTTAAAAATTATTTTTAAAATGTTGTATCTTTGCATATAACATTTGGCACACAAACTTGATAATTTCTGTTGACAGATTTTTTTTAGAAATCTTCAAAGGTATAATCATTTAAAAATACATATTACTACTTTTTCTTCAAATAAGGAAGATGGGTCCACAAATCCTTTCCCTATAATTCTGAAATCCAAGAAGCTCTGAAACTGAAAGGATTGTTTTAAAAATATTTTTCACACCAAAAGTCATCTGGAAGCCAAACCTGATCTGAACCAAAGTGAGGCTATTTATATCCTTTGTTTATCTCTCAAAAGCATGTAATTATGAAATAAAGACTAGTCCACCCAGGAAGGTCATATACAATATATGTACCACACTAACTTACTTTCTAGCACTTCGAATGCCATTTTATTGTCTCCTGGCCTCCGTTTTTTTTCTTTAAAAAATGAGAAAGCAGCCATCATTATTATTGTTGTCTTTGGCTCCTTTGGAAATCTCTTCTTC